GAAAGAAAGAAAGAAAGAAAGAAAGAAAGAAAGAAAGAAAGAAAGAAAGAAAGAAAGAAACTGTGACTAAGCAGATTCAGGGAGCTTCACTGCAGCAGAGACGGAGAGGACAGTCACACAGATGCTATTGAAAAACGAGTAAGCAATCAGCACCAGCCTCCAGCAATCACAGTAACTGACCGGTTGCTGTGATTGCTGGAGGCTGGTGGCAGTTTCAGTGAAATTGATTGCTAAAACCTCAGTAATGCAGGCTTAGAGATCGGTCATTGATAAGCGGTGGTAACCACCGAGGAAGATGGTGGTAATCACCGCTTGCTAGGGAAAAATGCATAATCCCCAAGTGGTTGCTGGAGATGCTTAACAAGCTGCACCATACTTCCTTGCAATTACTTCTAAGATTGCCGCGGCCCCCGGTTTGCATGGAAGACACGGACTTGTCTCCAAAAGCTGTTTGCCAAATGTTTACTGAGCGGGAGTGAAATTGAAATTCGCTTTCATAGGAAAGGTTGTGACTTACCACTGAAGTCAAAAAGACACAACTTATTTTGGTTTGTATCTCACTTTCTTAAATTTCATGGTTAGTTGTCAAGGGATTGCAGACCGAATGCAAACATCCAGCAACCGCTTGCCAGTCAGTAAGTAAATAACAGTTTTTCCTGAGGGACTAGAAGTTGCCGGGGTGCCACCAACCAGTCTCTAGGTCTGTGTGACTGAAGCCGTACACGGAATAACACTGGGAAAATGAGACACGGAGGCAAAGACAAGGCAAAAGAAGTGTGCTGAAAACTAAAAGAACATTAAGAAATTACAAAATCAATGTAAAAAAATAAGAAAATGTAAAAAAACAAATTTTGACTCTTTAAATGACAGTTGAGGGGGAGAAAATGAAGAAGAGAAAGCATTAGCAACAAAAAGAAAGGAACTTCCTGCATTATTTTGTGTTTTTCCTCTCACAGAACTATGCTGCCATGAAGATGGTGGGACCATTTGGACCAGCCAAGGAAACAACTTAAGATGAGGAGCATTTGAAGGAAAAGACAAACAGACGTGAACAAATGGAGACAATGAGAAACCACACCACTGTTCTGAGAGTGAAACAAGCACGGATTTTATTAGCCCTTTCTTCTTCTTTTTGAGACTTTTTCTGTTGTCTTCCTGGAGTCATGAGTGATGAAGTCAGCCAAATTGTCAGATCCAGATGTCCTTTGATATAGTCACACCTGATTAGCAGTGGCTGAATGTGCGCTTATGTTTGATATGTGTGCATTTTGTGCCTTTACAGTTAGATTCACTTCTGTACTTCTGTGCTGAAAGCGTTTCCAAAGTTACTATCAGAACTCAGCGTGTGCCGTCTGCATCGCCGTCATCCCTCAGTCACCGCTTTCATCTCTCTTCCCGCCTCGCGCTCTCTCTGCTGCCCTCATGCAGGGGAGGACAAGAAGAAAAGCTCGCCGCTGAGTGAGGCTGCGCTCCGAAACGGCAGAAACAGAATTAAAGATCGTGATTTTGATGGTGTTTGATCTTTTTACCGCCCGCTGCTTCCCTGCGAGAGGCATAGTCAGGTCAGGCAGTCAGTTTACCGACTCATGTCAAACTTTATCACTCCAAAAAATTCAATCTGAGGTTAAAGCGTGGCGGGAGTTTTCAGCTATCATTCTGTTTGAATCACCTTTTAATGTTGTTGCCCTGCTGCTTTCAAGTGCAATCAGACTTTTATTTTTAAAATGTTCAGATCAGAGTTAAGTTGTTAGAAGTGAAACATAATATCCAGGCTGGGTGGTTTTTTTTTCTTTGATTATATTTTTATTACAGCAGGTCACATACGATGCCTTCAGGTTGTGTGGGATTTCCCATCACTTACTGAATACTGTTAAAAACAAATTTTCGAGCTCCTCTCCTTAACTATCAGTTCTTCTCCTTCTTTTCCCTCATCTTCCTCCGTTTTCCCCCTCCTCCCTCTCTATCCAACCTAATCCCCCTCCTCCTCAGGGTTCAGCAGGTTAAGTCAGGGATTTGCGTTTGAGCCGTATTATTACACAGCATGTTTTAGATAGATGATGTGGGCTGATATGAACACAGAAGGACACATTGTGTTGTTGATCCTTAAACCGCTCAAGCTTTAGTGAGCAAAGCCGAACATCGGTGAATGATAAAGAAGAACAGAGTCATGATTTGAAAAATTTTATGTAAAGTCTCATTTTTGCTTATATTTATTATCTTCTTTTCTTTGGGTGCAACCACATCCTGGCTTAGTTTGGTTTGCTCCACAGTGGAAAAGTTGACTTGGACCCTTTTAGTTCATTTTAGGTTCACACCAGCTGGTTACAGGTTGAGCAGGCCTCGTAAATGAAAGTCACATCGACTCACAAGCAGCTCATTAACGTGAGCACTTTTGGTAACCTGTCGTCCTGCCAGGTCAGAGAGGATTTACCTCCAAGCTTCACTACATCAGCATATATCACAGTTTCTGAGAGTAGGTGTTTTTTGTGTGTGTTCTGTTTGTTTGTTTGTTTTTTACGTTAGCGTATTTCAATGTTCACCTTTAAATGCTGCATTTTTCTCTTTTTTTGTATTTTTATTTTTTTAATCAGAGATTTGATTCAACTAAAAAGGCAAAAAGTCTCACGAAAACTAAATTCAAAAACCTCTGAGGGTAAGGCTTACTAAAGTGCATTTGATTTATGCTGCAGATACATATGAAATGAAATCAAGTGCTTTATGATTATTTTCCAAGTACTCACAGTATGTTGAGTTTCTGCATAGCATTTAATCTCCCTTTTTGAATCTAGGGAATTAAGTTTTGAAGTATGAATTCCATAGTTTCTGTCTTAATTAGCCAAAGTGTGGAGGACCAAAGCTGCCAGAGAAAGACAAAAGTTAACATCAGAAAATGAATGAATATGGCATTAAATGTAGAAAATTAAAATTATAAATATATAGGCATTATTTTCTTTTAAAAGCTTGTGGATGAAATGCATAAATATATTTTGAATATTACAAAATTTTCAATTGTTATACATTTTTTATGTACTTATGCACCTTTTGTGTAACTTTCACTTTATTATTTACCATTCATTTTGCTTTTTTAAATCAGTTTACTCATTTTTAAATGTATTTATTTATGTATTAAATGGCAGTGCTATTTTCACAATGATTAATTAACTTCTTGGACACAAAGCATCCTGGTGTTGATCAACCACGAGGATGATCTTAAAGAAAGTTTCCCAGCATATATTGAACAAATACTAAAAGCCACACCTTGGTGGCCACAGTGGGTTTTTTTTTCATCATGAAACTGAAATGTAAAATAAAAAGGTTTGAGGGAAAAAAAAATTTAATGGAAAAAATAGGAAAGTAAATAGACTGGTTGTACAGGTAATTAACGAGCATTAAATGAAACCAAAACAAAAAGAAAAAAAATCCTACATGGAGTGTATTAGTTGCAATGCGTGTAATGCCATATTTATTTATTAGGTCTTTTTTAAAATGATAATTTGTTTAAATTTTGACAGTTTTCGTCCTCCACTGTTGACTTCCTAACTTTAATGCACTAAAAAAAAAACAACTTTATTATAATTTTAGTTTGTGAGAGAAAAGAAGGATCAGACTAATAAATTTCAAATTTATTAAAAAAACAAACAAACCCACACACACTTTACATTTTTATTCTAAAACATTTCCAGCAGACACAGCTGGAACACAAAATACCCCAAATCTGCCGACTGTGGGATGTTTAAAGTGTCTGATGGTTTCAAGTTAGTTATGGGGAAGTATTTCAGGTTACTTCTCACTGGCCTGAGGGTCTTCCAGATGTTTATATTGCAGATATTCTTGGTTCATATACAAGTTTATTATAATAATAATAATAATAATAATGATAATGATTATTATTATTATTGTTGTTGTTGTTATTATAGCTAATAAAAATGATGCAAACAGTATAGTTTAGAATTGTTTGAATTAAAAACTTAAAAACTTTAGTAGTTCTGCAGGTCCTACAGTAATAATGGATGGATGAATGTCATCTGCAGGTGAACATTTGTGCGTTTAAAAAAGACCATAATGCTAAACAACATGAAAAGTTCTGTGCTTTGTGCCGTAATGCATCAGATCTCTGTTTAGAGGTGGGCATTATTGTCAATTAAGCAGAAAAAGCAGAATATTTCTTCAGCTTTTTTAAGTTTGTAACTTTTGTTTTAGAGTTTTGAAATACCTTTATATATTGAAGTTCTGCTGATGTTAACAGGTCTTGAAAGGGTGAAATTTTACTGAGACAATCCTGCTTACAGTGCCATATACACTGGTTATTTGAAGTCTCGAGAAGCCGAACATTAACTCAGCGCTGTTTTGACCTGACATTATTCTTCTCAGTGAATGCAACGTGCCTTCAAGTCTTTAGCCTTTAGCTTTGCTGCCTTGTCGTATAGCAACACTAGCTAACACCTTCCTCAACAGGAAACGAAAACAAAATCACATGCTTCTGTGACAGTTTAATGCTGCTTATCTCTTCACTGTTATCTGCAGAAACCAGGGGTTGATCTTGTTCTTTGAACCTATTGTTTTACTCTTCTTGTAAACTGCACTGTGCTTCAGTTTTAGACACAAGCAGGGCTCTGCTGCTGGCTGTGATAAACTCCTGCTGCCAAAAAACTGCACTGAAAAATAACACGCGGGGACTTTGTCATGTGAAAGGACAAAGCCCTTTGCTGTTACTGTTTAATGTTTTGTGGGAGATGTGCACTGAATGTTTTCTACACAAGATATGAATTAGACTTCATAGCTGCAGAGAGAAATACTGTGTGCACTGCATTATGTCTGTATTATCAATAAAACTGCACTCTTACCCTTCGACTAGTGAATTTAATTAGCGAGAAGAAACATAAGCCATGTGTACGTCACATGAAAAAACGTGACCTGAAGTGAAGACTCATACACAATAGAGATGTTTTTAGATTCAGCTTGACTGACACGGTAAGTAGATGTGAGTAAATAATTGTTATATCATCGGCTTAGAAATACTAAAACTTACCAGAGTGAGTACTCTTCTCTATAAACAGCTGTCTGTACATTAACGCGAGTAACAGAGTATGACAAAGGCACCAGAGGTCGTCAGATTGGCTATAAATGCAGAAGACCACACCAGGTGAATCGGAAGCTGAGGCTATAATTTTCAAAGGTTCACCAAAACTGGGCAATAGAAAATTGGAAAAATGTTGCTGCTCTTGATTTCTGCTTCAATATTCAGATGGTAGGGTCAGAAGTAGATATAAACAACATGGAAGCATGGATCCATCCTGCATTTTTATTATCAGTGCAGGCGGGTGTGGGGATAAGTTTCATGGCACACTTTGGCCCCCTTAGTAGCATTCAAGCATGGTTTGAATGCCACAGCCTACCTGAGAGATAGTATATTAATCTTACTATCATAATATATTTTAAACAATCAGTGACTGGATATGTTAACAGCAAAAAAAACATTATTGATGATCCTGTACTCTGTGTCTCACCTTACTACACAAGAAGATTACTTCTAACTGGATCACATTCAAGCTCACCTGGCCAGTCTACACACACAAAAAAGTTCTGATCGGATCTAATTTCTCCACAATATTTTATTGACCTGAAGTGTCAATACTTTTTATCATATTTTTTTGTTCTCGTGCTTCGTTGGGGAACAAAATTGATGAAAACCATTGGACAATGAAATTAACACTGCCTGGAAACCCTCTTAAAGGTGCCATCCACGAAGGACGACAAGAAATATTGATCTGATTATTGCAATAAGGAAATTTAACCAGTGTTTACTCCAGCAACATCTGATTTCCACTGACAACTTTTTGGACACAAAACATCCGCCCAGTGTGCACAGACTGGTATTGCATACCAGAGCCTGTCTGCTCCACTGTAATTAAAACAAAAAGATAAATATACCTTTTTTTTCTGACTCTTTGCATTATTTTGAAATCTGGAATCCACTCATGTTCAAATAAACAAGTTCACTCTCATGTAGAAGAAAGTAAATGAGTGTGCTTTGTGGAGGTAAAGACTCACATTTTCCTGAATTAAATGAGTGGAACAAAGTAGATCAGAGAGGCTTTGGTGTCGACTAAGGGATTATTAACCTGCTGGCTCACACTCACAAATGCATATACACACACACAGTGGGGCCTGTTAGGCTGGAAAAACAGATGAGGGTTTAAATATTAAAGTACATGCTCACACAGAGTACATACACCAGTCTTGTATGTGGGTATGTCTTGCATTGTGTCCTGTAATAAAATTCCTGTAGTTTTCTTGACTTTTTATCTTTTTTTTAATGTTGGATTGAACAAATTTCATTAATTAATCCTGTTTTGTGCTGTGAAACTGCCAATTTACTCAATCAGTGCTGAGTGTTTTGCTTATCCAGTCAAGGCAGTGTTTTAAATGCTCATAAAAGCAGCATTTAATTTGACACTGTGAGGATTTTCCAGAGATAATGAGCCAGTGATGCAGAATACATTATTTAACAGACCAGAGAAAAGGATATGTCTGTGAAGGTTCTCAGTCATCCAGGTCATTATAGTCTAAGGGAAAAAAAGCTTTTAGACTTATTTAAGGTGTTTGAAG